GGCGCGTGGCGCTGCCCCGCCGTGACGGGCGCCCCGCCGCGCCCACGCACCTTCCACACCTCCTCGGCCCTGCTCGGCCAGCGCCTCTACGTGTTCGGCGGCGGCGAGCGCGGCGCGGAGCCCGTGCGCGACCGGCAGCTCCACGTCTTCGACACAGGTGCCCGCCCCGCCGCAGGCCGCCCGCACGCGGGGGTGCACGCACGGGCGCAGCTCCACGGCACACGCAGCCGTTGCCTTGGGGCTGAGCCTCCCCGCGTGCAYCCGGGCCCTGCCGAACGCCCCGTTGCGCTGGACAGCGCGGTGCTGACGCTCCGAGCAGCTGCTGGAAGCGCCTCCTGGGAGGCCTCAGCGCTCCGGGCACTGCCAGTGCTCTCCTAACGCCCGTGTACTCCCGCTTTTAGCCACCTTGACCTGGTCCCAGCCAGAGGTCCATGGTGATCCCCCTTCTCCTCGGCATGGACATGCGGTGGTTGCAGTTGGGACCAAACTTTTCATACATGGAGGTCTAGCTGGTGATATTTTTTACAATGATCTGTTCTGCATTGACATAAGTGAGTATGGCTACRGATTCCTTTAGAGCAATAGCTGCTGCACGATGTATTTTGCTTTCAAGGAGRCTAAAAGATGAGTTCTTAAGAGCGGTAGATAAGTGCTTCAGGAAGGAGGCGGCGGGATGAGGTACTCTTCTTTTCCTTCTCYTACCCAGGTAAGTGTGCGGGAAGAGAGCTGTGCAGGTTCAGCCGTTCCTCCTCAGGCAGGAGGAAAGCTCCCTCACCGCCGCAGTGTGTGATAGCCTCCAGTGCAATATAAGAAACACCAGCGTTAACGCAAATAGAGTTAATTTAATTAAAGCTGCTTCATGGGAAGGAAACCTCCTTCTACTCCTCTGGAGAAGCCTGTCTATATTGTCACTTCTTGTTGGGCTTTGCACAGAACCGCACACTCCTCCTGCAGAGCACTATCCAGGAGCCTGCAGCTGAGTTTGGGTATTTCTCTCCAAAAGAAAGAGCAGTGTTTGTAGTGTGAACTCTGGAAAGCAAAACCCTACAGTGCGCTCTTTTTAAAAATAAATCCAAATGTTGGGGTAGTTTCCCTGAAATGTATTATTTACACTTAAAAATAGGATTTTTTTTTTCATTTGTAAAGCACGGCCATCGCTACGTGTTGTTTTTCTCCACCAGATGACATGAAGTGGGTTAAGATATCAGCCACGGGCGACGTCCCAGGAGGACGGGCAGCTCACTCGTCCACTGTGTTCAAAGACCACCTGTACATTTTYGGTGGGATAGATCCAACCGGGGCGCTAGATACTACGTACAAGTATCACATCGGTAGGGAGGCTTTTCTTAACTGCGCAGTGATAGATACTAGTCTGCCTCGCTGTGGTTCTTGAGCTTTATCTTAAGTTTCTTTGCGCTAGTATARTATTGTTATACGCTAGTATAACATTAAAAGATTGTCAAAATTGGTTATGTCTGGTAATCTTTTTAAAGATCTGTAGTAGCAAAGCAGCCCAGGAGTAGCAGTGCTGCTCGTTGCCCTGTTTTTAAGCGTGTCTGACTAAAGCTGCTACTCTGTCTCCTGCCCCACAGAACAGCAGCAGTGGACGCTGCTGCAGTTCGAGTCGCCGCTGCCCGCCGCGAGGCTGGACCATTCCATGTGTGTCATTCCCTGGCACACTCGTGCCAGCTGTGACGATGCGGATGAAGATGCCATAGGGAAGGAAGCAATGGCCAGCGACACAGCTGAGCTGCTGCAGAGCCCCGAGGAGGAGGCGGCTGCAGCGGAGCCCCCGCTGCACCTGCTCTTCGTGTTYGGAGGGATGAGCGCCCAAGGGGAGATGTACAGCGACTGCATCGTGAGCCTCATCGAGTAGCAYACGCGGGAGCCCCACTGCAGCAGCCACTTCTTCCAGCCCCTTCCAGGCCGTAACTGGCATTTCCAATAAACATTCCGCTCCGCTGGGGCTGGTCCTGACACCTTCCATGTGCCCTGGCTCGGATCCTTCCTGTCCCTCCACCCGGGGGACAAGAGCCTCCRGCTCGAAGGGGGCAGTTCCAGGGAGAGGAAACAAGCCCTGGGGGAGGCTGCAAAGGAGTGACCCTCCCCTTTTAACTATCACTCAGCAGAAGCTGCTCTCCCCCAGTGCTGGTGGAGCCAGCTCTAAGCACAAGCCTAGGGACAGGTGCAGCCAAGTCATTTTTCATGTGCTGAGGGTGGCAAATACAGATTGCCGGTGCCCCGAGCAGGGAGGATATTCCCTCCTCCCCCCCAGAACTGGGGCTGGAGCTAAACAGAAGAGCTAGAAGTGTCCTAACAGAACTGCTCTCACTTTCAGTGCTGCAGCTCTTTAAGCCTAACCTATTAAGAGAAAGAAGTTCATGTTGAAGAGTTACTCTAGCAATAGCTGATAAAAAAACAACACAAAAAGAATACATCCATACTGTGGTAGAAGTAGCTGTATTTKCTGTTGGGCAGCAACACCAAAGTAAGACAAAATCCAGTGTAAATAACAAATTTATTGTGGTCACTTCAGGTAGAAAAACTCTACACCAAATGCACATGACCCAGTTGTTAAATAGAATACTTCCACTGTGAATACTTCTAAACCCCCTTCTCATTTACACTCCCCCCCTGCTACCCTGCCCTCCCCGACAACAAGCAACTGCTAACGAAAAGCAGTAAACAGCCACTTTGGGCTAGCATTTCCAGCTCCACTCATGAGTGAAGATTCAGTTACATTCCAAATTAGAGTTCATATTTTAAACAAGTGTTCCTGAGTCCAATATATACACACACACACCACATTCAGAGATGCCAGTATCTACAATTCATCTTTCTCTCCTGCTTCTTCTTCGCCAGGGGGAGGGCCTGCACTTCCGTAGAGCTTGCTAACAATTGGCTGAACAACTTCCTCCAGCTCCTTCTTTTTTGCTTTGAAGTCTTCTATGTCAGCATCTTGATGGCTTTCAAGCCACTCAATCTTTTCCTCTACTGCTTTCTCTATTGTTTCTTTGTCTTCAGAGGATAACTTGCCACCCAGCTTCTCTTTGTCCCCAATCTGGTTCTTCAGGGAGTAGGCATAGCTTTCCAGCTCATTCCGGGAATCAATACGTTCCTTAAGCTTCTTATCTTCCTCAGCAAACTTCTCAGCATCATTAACCATTCTCTCAATCTCTTCTGGTGTCAGCCGATTCTGATCGTTTGTAATTGTGATCTTGTTTTTGTTCCCAGTGCCCTTGTCTTCAGCTGTCACTCGGAGGATCCCGTTCACATCTATCTCAAAGGTAACCTCAATCTGTGGGACACCACGAGGAGCAGGAGGGATTCCCGTCAGGTCAAAAGTTCCCAGAAGATGGTTATCTTTAGTAAGAGGACGTTCACCTGCAGAAGACACAATTACTTACTTTGTTGCCCCTGCATTGTGTCCTTTTTCTGAAGCACACCAGCTCTAAACTACAGTATTCCACAACTGAATTTCAACTTTGGAACTCACTCCAATCCCCTTACCTACAGTATCATTTCCCACATAAAGGGTTTCCAAACTTGACAAGGCAGGCAACACRTTGGATAACACCAGAAGCTGTTAATGTGCTATGTTCTGCCTCTTAAGAGCACAGATTCATGAACGCACACTCTGCAGCCTTTGTAACAAGGCAGCAGAATGCACAAGTGCCAAGACATTCTGCAGCTGCTCACATGGCCTGTCGTATGTGGAACTTACCTTCATAAACCTTGATGGTCACTGTTGGCTGGTTGTCAGAAGCAGTGGAGAAGATCTGAGACTTCTTCGTGGGAACGACAGTGTTTCTTGGGATCAGTTTAGTCATGACACCTCCAACAGTCTCAATGCCGAGTGTCAAAGGACACACATCAAGTAACACCAAGTCACCTAAAAGGGATCAACATTAAGACTATGATATAGCCTCASTTCTTCTCAACAGAGCACAACACCCTATCACTGTGGGCTAGGCCCATAAGGAGCCTTAGGATTCTAAGRCCTGGAAAAAAGGAACAGAACTCAGCTCTCCCCACAGAGCATTTGTGTCAACAGACAGTACTATTTGGGGCCCATAGTTCCTTACCTGTATCTTGGTCCCCAGAGAGAACACCAGCCTGAACAGCTGCACCATAGGCTACAGCTTCATCCGGGTTAATGCCCCGAGAAGGCTCCTTGCCATTGAAGAATTCTTTAACAAGTTGCTGTATTTTAGGGATGCGAGTAGAGCCACCAACAAGGACTATCTCATCAATGTCAGATTTCTTTAGGTCAGAATCTTCCAGCACTTTCTGAACAGGCTTCATAGTAGAACGGAAGAGATCCTAGGAGAAGAGGACAGTTCAGACTGCATTCCCCACATTCAGTTACTAATGACATAGCCTTAAGGTASAAAGAACCACAGCTACAGAACAGTGTCTCAACTGCTAACACTMTCCTCCTCTCCAGTTACCCAGGGAAGGGGTAACTCCTTGTAAACTAGCAGATTTATACTCTGCTCATAATCAAGGTTGCACTCAAAAGTGCAACACATCCCCAAATAGTCACACACTACCAATTTAGAACTAAGCTAAGGCAGCTACCTTTGGACACTTACCATGTTGAGTTCCTCAAACTTGGCCCTTGTGAGTGTCTCAGAGAAATCCTCCCCTTCAAAGAAGGATTCTATTTCAATTCTGGCCTGGTGCTGAGATGACAGGGCTCGCTTGGCCTTCTCCACTTCTCGCCTTAGCTTCTGCACAGCTCTATTATCCTTCCTGACATCTTTTCCCGTTTTCTTTTTGTAGAGTTTGATGAAGTGTTCCATAACACGTTGGTCAAAGTCTTCTCCACCCAGGTGAGTGTCTCCATTAGTAGCCACAACTTCAAAGACTCCATTGTCAATGGTGAGGAGGGACACATCAAAAGTCCCACCACCCAAGTCAAATACGAGGATATTCTTCTCACCCTCCCTCTTGTCCAAGCCATAAGCAATGGCAGCAGCTGTTCTGTATGGAGAACAGTCAAGTTACACTTTGCTTTCTACTCCCCCACTGCCCTCCCCTCCTTCTTTCAAAATATGTAAGGCAACTTACGGCTCATTAATAATTCTCATCACATTCAATCCAGCAATAGTGCCAGCATCTTTTGTAGCCTGACGCTGAGCATCATTGAAGTAGGCTGGCACTGTAACAACAGCATGGGTAACCTGGATAAGGAATAAAAATGAAAGGAAGTGTAGCTTAGAGGTGACCTTGGTAACATTAATGGAAGTAGCTCATTGATCTCCAAACAGAAGTAAAAACCCCACAAGCCCACGTGAACAGGTTGCACCACAGAAAATGAGACCAGGAGTTTACAAGTGCAGTCAGTCCACACATTCAGCTCAGTTATCTTTAGTTTTATAAAGCTGGTGCTTTAAATTCTTGCAAGTAGCATCTATCTACTTACTTTCTTCCCCAAGTAGGCCTCTGCAGTCTCCTTCATCTTTGTCAAAACCATAGCAGAAATTTCTTCAGGAGCAAATGTCTTTGTCTGTCCACCACCAACATCCACTTGAATATGGGGCTTGGCTTTCTTCTCAATAACCTAAGARACAGACTAGGTGTCACATTCCAACAGTTCATTACTTTTCTCTCAGTGGCTGGCTATTTACTCATGTTCTTATGGAGAATTAAGAGATCCTCTAGAGCCACCACTAATTTGAGTACTAGCCTTCCATGACTTTGTGCCACCTCACTGCACCATAGCAGCTCTCAGGAGGGCTACAGAACTGCCAAGTAACTCGAGCTTTGAGCTCTGCTTCTTTGGCCAAGTGACACACACAGCAGCACTGGCAAATGCTCTCCTGATGAAAGGCCTCCCCCTGCCCTCCAGCTTCCTTCCCCCCACCCCTCCCAGTCTTCCCCATCTCAATGGGCACCTTGAAGGGCAGGTACTTGATGTCCTGCTGCACCGAGGGGTCATTCCAGGTGCGGCCGATGAGCCGCTTGGCATCAAACACGGTGTTCTCGGGGTTGGAGGTGAGCTGGTTCTTGGCCGCATCGCCGATCAGGCGCTCCCCCTCGGGTGTGAACGCCACGTAGGACGGCGTGATGCGGTTGCCCTGGTCGTTGGCGATGATTTCCACACGGCCGTTCTTGAACACGCCAACGCTGCGGCAGCAGCACGGGGGTTAGGGGCGTCAGTCGGCACCAGGGCCTGCTCCCTTCCCCCCCC